TGTATATATATATATATATATATATATATATATACACTTGAAAAAGACACATGACCTTTTTTAACTCACTAAGCTCAGTAAATTGATTATATTATGTATAACAACTGAAGCTGTCTTGATACTGATAGATGTAATGTAAATAAACCTGCCTTGCCTTGAGATAGTGTACTTTACTTATTTCTTTCTTTTTTTTTTGTGGTTAGTTTAGCTAATTTTGCTTAGCTGTATCTGAATTTGCTTTTAAATTTCATGACTTGAGTTATTTTTTAGGGTATCCTACCACAAGCTTAACACAATTGCTTGCTGGATTGGGGCTCATTTCTCTAAGCAAACATGGCAAACCCTGTTTTTAATTGCTTTTCTATATACCGTATATATTTTTTTTTCATTAGAGTCACACAGCATACAATAATTTTGTTATAAGTATTATTATAAGACCTGTGCGTCATTTAACATGGCTAACCTTATAATACAGTCAAATTGTCACATACCTGAGAAATATGCAAAATACACCCATACAGTGCACAAGTTTATGGCACAAGTTTATGTTCTATGATGTTCATCCTGACCATGCACAACTGCAGGTGTGCTGCTTTCTCTCTTATCCTATAAATATAATTGTGGTGATTATGTCCAAACTCTTTCATTTAGCTATGGTTTTATTTAACACTTTAATTTTCAAGTTTCTGTTGGATTAATGGCTTTTTCCTCCATCGGTGACCTAGATCAGTGATTCCCAACCCGGTGTACTCGTACCCCTAGTGGTCGACGAGTGCATTGCAAGGGCTACATGAAAATATTTTATTTCTTAGGTAGTACAATAAAATAGGGCTGGAATCTGTTTTGCTTTGTGAGTACCCAATAAAAAAAATGAAACCAGCTTTTATTAACCAAAAAGTAAGTTTTTGTTATATGTTTGAGTTCAGCTGTGAAACACAACCAAACCAAGATGAGGAACAAACTGGAAGTTAAAAACAACCTGGATTAGTAATTCTTTACACAGATCTATCGGAGATCATCAAAGCAGCTCAGGGTGACTTAATTAGTTTTACTTTGTTTTCATCAAAACACCTAATTATAATTATTGTTCTGTATTTTGTTCCCAATTGATCAAGTTTAAAATGTGATTATATGGGAGTTACTCAAAAGACCTCAAGTTTTATAAATACAGGTTTGAAATAGGATTTTATTTTTTATTTATCTATTTGAATTCCTTACTAACTTTCAGGCAACATATTCATATTGGTCTTTTTGTTTGTTTTGTTTTGGTGTTTTTTTTTTTTTTTTAGATAAAATGCTTAAGAATTAAATGCTTGAAATAAAAGATTAGGTAACATAGTTGTTATTTTACAAGCAGTTGTTGTACGTTCTACTTTTGGACAATCATCAATAATTTTGACTGAAGGGGTACTCATGGTACGACAAAATAGCCAAAGGGGTACACAAGTCAAAAAAGGTTTGGAAACACTGGTCTAGATGATGAGACTCCTTTTTACTTCAGCCTGTATTTTTACAGTATTTAGTGATTTTTTTTTTTTTTTTGTTATTGACTTTGCACTGACTTCCATTTATTTCCATGGTCTTACCCTGACCCACACCCTTACCACACCTTAAATTTGTCGACTGGACCCAACAAGACCCTCAACACAGTATAGCATCAAAATCAAGTCCGCACAACAGCTCACACATCTGAACAAAATTTGACAAATTTGACAAAATTTTTGAAAATCTTTATTTAAAAAACTCATTCTGATGTTTGGCAAATGAAGATAGTTTTGGTAACCCTCACTGACTTAAAACATGAAAAATAATGCTGTGTTTCCTCTTTAACTTTCTTTCGTGTGGGAACTGTTGCTTGCAGTCTGTTAACAGAGAGGCTGGAGAAGTGGCTCCAGCTGATGTTAAAGTGGTCACCGAAGGAGCGAGGCAAAGACCCCAACGCTACCCCCAGTGACTGCTTCCTCCAGCTGGAGATGATACTCAAGCTCAAGGTGAGCCATTTCCACTTTTTCACTCTGTCCACATCAGGCATTGCTGACCTCATGTTACCCTGCTTCTCCAGCTGGTTCATGTCCTCAACATGATGTCTGCCAAAATCCTGATATATGCCATTTCTGATGATGAGACTGTGGCCAGCCTGCAGCTGAGAATTGAAAAAGACACCAACATTCCTGCAGCCAATCAGGAGCTGCTGCTGGAAGCAGGACTGGTTTTAGAAGCAAATGCACTGGCCTCCCAGTGCGCTGTAGATTACATGGTAATATTTTTTTACATCACTGCTGTAAGTTTGATACGATCTACAAACTTTGATTTGTTATTTCATTTTCCTTTAGGAGGTAGATGGACGACGGACAGACTATCCTCTTGTGTTTCTGTTCGATTGCTCCTCTTGCACTTATGAACCTCAGTTTAGTCCTCGAATCCTCCCTGAAAATGTTCGCTACATCCGTAAGAACACAGTCTCTCCTCTTTAAATAAATGGATTTAGAGAAACAGCCATTTTTCTGTTTGCTGATAAGTCCCCAAACATCATTGCCTCATCTTATTGTGTTTTTTTCTGTCTCAAAGAAAAAGATCCCAAGTGTCTTCTTCAGTACAGCCAGCTGAGGAGGACCTGTGGCCAGGTGTGGCACACCATTCGCTCTCTGAAGGAAGACTGGCAACGGCTGCAGCAAGGCCAGAAAGCTGCCATGTAGGACATACTACACCGTTTATCCACACATGTTGAAAACCACTCCTAATTTTTAGAACTCACAAGTGTTTCAGAGTTTTTTTAAAGCTGGAATCACTTAAGACATTTGCACATTTATGAAAATGTTCTTTCTTACTCCTTTTAGCATGAGCCTCCTGAGACACAACTCCACTTTGTCCAAACAGAAGATTGAGATGGTTTCAATGCACCAGAGACTGACAGCCAAGCTGGATTTCTTCAACACAAGCCTTCACATAGACATGGACAAGTACCAGGAACAGACAGCCACGGGGATTGGTACATGATGCCCTGAGATACCAAGTGTTTTATCCACCAAACATGTTAACTGAATAAAGAGATGTCTGCAGCTTTCACCTCAGGAATAGCTAATCGATCTAATACTAAATGTACCTCTTTATATCTAAAAGCTTCTGATAAACTTCTGAGTGTTTGGAGGGAAATGGAGCAAACTGCCATCAGCTGTAGTCAGGTACGCTGAGTATTATAAGATGCCTTTAAGGGTTTTTTGCTTCCTTTAAAGGATTATAACTTTTGTTTTTGAAGGCCCAGGTGACCGAACTTGAAGACGAGATGATGAAGCTGCAGCCAGACATCGTGGATGTGCAGAGGCAACGGAGCGGAGAGACTTTGGACACGCTGTGAGTCTGAAAATAAAATCAGGAACTTCTCTTTAAGCTGAAACATGGCTCACTTCTTTTTTTTTTATCCTCAGGGAAGGAAAAGCCATGGAGTTGTTCCGCAAACTCAGAGAAAAACCCAGAGGTTTGTACTTTTTTTTTTTTTTTCTTTTTCTTTTCTTTCAAGCATCAGCACTTGTCTCGGCTCCTGCATGTGGAAACAAACAACCCTCTGGTTTTCCTTCCTCAGACCAGAGGATGCCAGGAGACGGCATGGAGGCGGCGCGCCTAGTGGTTCAAGCAGTTCAGTTCTATGAAAAGAAAATCAGGGATTTCTACACAATCCTCAGGTACTCGTACACATTTACATCTGATATGTACATTACATTTTTGTACATTTACATCTGTGCTTGTGCATTTCCCTTTAAATACCATCTGAAAACTCTTCCTAAATTTTCAGAAACGTATATGTCAAAAAGGAAAATATGACCTTGATGCAGCCGTTCATAAGGATTCTTTTAATTTAACTCGAGAGCATTTAGTTTTTTCATCAATCCCTCCAACTCGCTAACAACCCCTTAAGATATATAACTAAAGACTTGTTAAGTTCTAAAAACAAATTAGCATTGGTTTAAAAAAAAAAAGATTGATGTCGCCACAAACATGAGGCAGAGTTCATCAAAATAAGAGATTCAAAAATAAGTTCAGAGAAGCGACACGAAATCATGATGGAATAAAAAAAATTTTTAATTCTTAAAATAAACGCATTTGTTCTTGAATTGAGGAGGTAAGCGAGACACTTTGCCAATTAAACAAGACAATTTTCATTTAAAATAAAAAATATTTGCATGGTCTAATTTCAAGTGCATATTTTCTAATTATCTAATTTATGAATAAAATCCTCATTCTATTGGCAGATAATCTTATTTTCCTACTCAAACTAAGGGTAAATACACTTAATGTAAGACATTATTTTTTGCAGTGTAGCTCAGAAAGGAGGCTATCAATAGCAGACTGTGAAAAAAGCAGTTAGGTCCAGTTAACCATCTGGAAGCAGCTAAATCTAGAACCTAGTTTGATGGGATAGCTTAACAAGCACATACAAAGTAGATAAATATGGAAGCTAGAAAACTAAACAATTACTAAAACACCTCTTTGAGCTTTAGACATATGCATGATGCTATGTCCAAACCAAGATATGTGTAAATTACATACACCATAAATGTGCTGCCAGAACACTTCCCTACACCAGACCCAAGGCCACCGGTTCCCAGCTAGTGTTTAACATTTCATTTGAGTCTTAATCTGTGTGGAGTGGGGCCTTAAAATATTGTTATTTTTTTTGTGCATGCTACAGTAAGACTGCAATGTGCCGCCACCGTGTGATGGAGCTGCTGCCGAAGGTGGAGGAAGTGGTCCAGAAGTTGGCAGAGAGTGAGCAGGTCCTGATGGGTCTACAGGAGAGAAGACAAAGGGAGCTGTGGAACCTGCTGAAAATCGCCTGTGTGAGGATGCATGAACTCTCTCACCCGATCAGTTTGACACAGAAGAGAAGCTTGAAAACACAAGAGGTTGACATTTAGCAGGCAGAGCCAGTGAGCAGCTGATGTGTGAAACAGAATCATTTTATTTTAATGCAGAGCAAAGTTCGAAGCCCCGTGAGCGGAAGTCCCGATGGACTCCGAACGCCTTCATCAGTGCCTCCTCTGATGACCCCCAGACACAGCGTACAGCAACTGTGAGTATGCCTAGACACAAACATTCAGCTCGGTAACATTATGAAATTTTGATAAACATTCATATCCACTACGAGGCCCAAAAAAGATCACCTTATTATGGAATTATTTTGTGAACTGAAGATTTTGATCTGATTTTTTTTTCCTTCTATCTGCTCTTTAATATTATGCATGCATGCCTTTGAGTTTTCTGGGAATACAGGGTCACAGACGTTGTGATAAGCGTGTTAACGTCATCAATAACATCACATAGACATGCTGATGAATCATGGTTGATGTCTCCGCAGGGATGAGTCTCTAGTTGAGGAGAGCAGGACATTTGAGAGTCGCCTCCAGAGTTTACTGCAGGAAACTATCCAGGAATCAGAGAGCAGCATGGAGGTGTGTGTGGTTTCATACTGAAAGTACTGGTTTATTATACTGCTGTGAGTTATTCAAGTCTTGTTTTTTTGTCCTAGATGCTGAAGGAATGGACGTGGCTGCGAGGAGATCAGAATTTCTCCAGTGACCTCGCCTAAAATGATATTGCTTAAATGTCCCTGTGCTGCCCCCGTGTGGAGGGCAATTGTACAAGCAGGTGTATGTACAGTCAGTTGTCTGATTTGGTGAATTAAATAAATAAATAAATTGAACATTATTGATCTCACATTGGAGAAATCTATCTCTGCATTTAACCCATCCCCTTGGGGAGCAGTGGGCTGCCATTGTGCAGTGCCCGGGGAGCAGTGGGGGGTTAAGGGTCTTGCTCAGGGACCAATTAGACTTTTAACTTTCAGGTACATATTTTTCCTTTTAAGTTTTCTATCTGGTTGCTTATGGGGATTATTAAGAAATACTGAAGTTAAGAAGAACTCAGTATTTTTTTACATTTTGTAAAATAATTATTTTACTGGGACTGACCTTATAGATTCTTTTTTTTAACTAAACTTTTACCACAGGGTTTGAGATCTTAAAACACTTAACCACCAAAAAATGCTTATTTTTTGCTCAGTTTTACAAAGAGTTAAGATGATTTGGATTTATGTGTTTTGACAACAATGCAGGATTTTTCCATCTTATGTATACTGAAATAAATTCAGTCCATCCTATATTGTGTCTTGTGATAATTTGTTTTTAGTAAACGAATTGTTATCCACAAAATAATATATAGTGGAAAACATTAAAGAATATTAGGCCCAACATACTGTTAGCCCTGAAAACCTCTTTGAACCAGCGCAACTGTCAGAGAAATAATATACTTCTTTTATACTTAGGTTTAATAGATTATTGGCTGTTATTTAACTGACTTTCAAATTTTACTTTTATTTGGCATCCTCTTTTTCGCTTTTAAATCAAAAACAGATCATATTTCACTGTTTTCTTTATTTCAGTCATCTTTGGCTTTCATTATCATTTCTTATCTGGCTCACATCAGCAGATAGATTTAACTGAATACTTTTTTATTTCATGACTTTTTAAAGCAGTTTCTTTGCACCAGACTTTGGGACATTCTTACAAGATTAATGCCACGTTCTGGGAAATCTGTCTGAATATTATCAGCTCATCCCAAATATACCTTTGAATTATTGTTGTTTCTTTTTTTTTCCCCCTTCAAACAGGGAATGATTCTAGAAAGGTGGCGGAGATGATCATATGAACGTTTTCAGGACCAAAATAAGAAAATTAAAATAAGGAAAAATATATATACATCTCCAAATGTTGGTTGTTTTTTGTTTTAAATTCCAATATTCCCAAAATGAGAACCCAGACAGATTTCATAACCTTGATGGTTTGGAGATGGTTAACATGTCAGCTGTTATCTGCATCCAGAACTCTAAATCTGTAGCTTGACATTTTAAGCTTGTATCTTACAAAAAGATTTTAAAAAAACAAGGGGCAAGCTTAGGATTTTTCCATCTGAATCTTATGAAAATAGAATGAGAGGCTTTTATTTCAAATTAAGATCCAGCTTAATCTACCTTTAATCTAGCCTTAGTTTGAAGTTCTTAGTTTAAGAGTAACTGTTTTCATCCTTTCTATAAAAACTGTATAACTTTGCCCTATGGATAACGACACAGGTGGTGTGGCCACCCTGGTTTATGACCGGCAGAAATCCCCATGGTACCTGTGATCCCAACAACTGTGCTTCCTTCTGTGGTCGGAGGTGTTACTCAGATGCCTTCATATGTACTGTTTACCCCTTTTAAAGTTTTTAAGGGACTAGTGTGTAGTTTTTTTTTCCAAAAGAAGGCTGACAGAAAAGGGGGAGAGACATCCAGTAAAGGACCACAGGTTGGATTCAAACCTGGGTCGGGCACGTCGAGGACTAACGCCAGCTGCACGTCCCCGTTTACCTTTTTTAACTGGTTGTTTTCATCTGACTGAAGTGATCTCAACGATAAAAATGTAACAGAAACCAACAGGCTGGTGTTGTTTGACAGTCTTTATTTCATTTATTCAATAAAATTAGTTAGAGGTCCAAAGAGTAGACAATAGTTCTTATATTTCCACAGCATAGTTGTGAAACGTGACCAAGGCTGAAACATGATGTTGACACTGAGATTCAAACTGCATTCAACCCCTATTTAAACCAAATGGGGCCTGGAAAAAACAAAACAAAACTATATTTCATTTTTTTTTTCCACCAAACTCTCTCCGATCTATATTGCAATTGATTTTCACACACTTTATCAATAGCCTGGATATCATGCAAAAAAACCAAAACACTCCAAAACAAGCAGCCTATAAATATCCTAACATGATACAACTGAGCATAACTGAACTAAAACAGACAGTTAAATTAAAAACTGTGCCTCAGAACTTGCTCTGGTTAAAAGTGCACTTTAATCTGTTAAAACTGTGTTTGTGCTGTATGCTCTTAGGTTTAGATTTAAAGTTGAACATATTTTAAAATGTAAAAATAAGTTATGATTGGGTGACAGTTACAGTACTGGAGGTCTTGGAGGCTACTTGGGTTTGAAGGTTAAGGCCAAAGAATGTGTGCGTGTTGGACTGGGAGGATGTATTCACATGTTGCTTAGTGGGTCACTGCAGTTTCGTCACATTGAGGGCTGCGTATTTTGTTTTTTTCCTCTCCATTTTCTGGCAGGTCTTTACGCCTCCAGCTCGAATCCCATGCCGACTTTGTGTCCACCGCTGTTCACGCTCTTCCCATCGATCAGCGCAGAGAGAGTGAGTTTCACTCCTGCCGGGAGAGAGAATTATAAAATGTGGACTTCAATTAACTGCAGGTCTACAATTCGAATTGTTTCTGCTGTAAAATTAGTTTTTTTTATGTATGATTGCGAACCTGGCCTGAGGGTTTGCGTGTATCCAACTCCAACAAGGCAGGCATTGCTGACCTTTGCCTGTGAGGAGAAAAAACACCAGTAAAAATCTATATTTAAGGCATTATAAATGAATCATAATGAAAAGGTGCAGCTTTCAATGAATTATGTTATTTCGTACAACACACTGCAAAATACTGAAACCTAAATAAGTCTTTTTTTTTTTCTTAAAATAAGTGCATGTTTTCTTGAATTGCAGAGGTGAGACCCTTTGCCAATGGAGCAACATAATTTACACTTAGAATAAGAAAAAAAAACAATTGCATTGTCTTATTTCAAATGCATATTATCTAGTTATCTTATTTTAATAGTAAAAATATTCATTCCATTGGCAGATTATCGTGTTCACCTACTCAAATTAAGGGTAACTGCATTTATTTTAAGAAGTTTTTAATTATTTCTAGATCATTTTAAGAGTGCAGAATTTGGCCAAAATACTGAAAAGACATGAATTTGCTTTCATTTGGGACAAAACTGCTCAAAAACTCAGAAATGTTAATCATGAAATATTTTGTGAATAACTAATAAAAACTCATTATCTTTGATAAGGAAAAAAGGGAAGGGAAATTCTATAAAATATGTATCACAGTTTGTATGTATTCCTTATTAAAATGACTACAGAGATGTTTCATATGTGAGGCACATTAGCTTAGCATAACTGCTCTTTTTAAAGGATGTTTGCACTGTGCAAACCTCAGACATTTGGTTTGGTTTCTTCCTGACTACAGAAGTGAGACTGAAACCTTTTAAGATCTGAAGAGCTGTCTAATGCGCTCAGAAGGAAGACTGCAGTTACCTTTAAGGGTGGTAAAGAAATGAGGTTAACAAGTGGAGGAAAGACAACTGCCAACTATCTACTGTCACCAGGTTCACCCTCAGATGCTTAGGAAACACCTAGAGATGCTACAGCATGTCCTGCAACAGGCTCTCTAATGACTGGTTTGGAGTTAGGAAATGTCTTGAGCTCTGTGATGACTAATTGAAAGTCCATAAACAAATAAATAAAACATCAAATTTTAGAGGGTACTTAAGATAAAGATTTTATGATGGGAGCAGCAGCAGTGATTTTTAAATATATCTTTCTAAAGAGGGATTTTAACTTTAAATTCATTTCATATGTCTCTTTCTTACAGACAGGGAGGCATCCTTATCCAGCTTGTATTTGGCTCCGATTCCAAAGCGTGTGTTGTTGCTTCCTGCTGTCCATGCAAGGTTCACTGCTGTCTCCAGGTTGCTGTTCACCTTCTGGTAAATGGAGCCCCCAAACTCTGTGCCATCATTACTAAGAAAAAGAAGATGAAAAGGCATACTTAGAACTGACACGCTAAAGGCCCATTTGCACTACAGGCACCAGGGTAGGATTCTAACGTCATTGTGTTTTTTTTGTGTATTTATAGGGGCAAACACAAAAATTCCACAGAAATGTACACGAGAACAAGACACTGCTACGGAAGTAGCTTATATATATTTCTTTAAAGAACAAACTTTAATAGAGTTGTGTGAAGGGAGACTTCCGAGAATTTCAAATGGTTTCATCATTATTAGATTATAATTCACAAATTTTTAATACATTTTTTTTTTTTGGCATCTAATGTTTTTATTTAATGTCAAAAAGATTTTAAAAAAACAAGGGGCAAGCTTAGGATTTTTCCATCTGAATCTTATGAAAATAGAATGAGAGGCTTTTATTTCAAATTTAGATCCAGCTTAATCTACCTTTAATCTAGCCTTAGTTTGAAGTTCTTAGTTTAAGAGTAACTGTTTTCATCCTTTCTATAAAAACTGTATAACTT